AACACAACACCAACACCAGAGACGATCTGTCGACGAAGTCGCCGGCCAGAGGAGGCATGGCGCAGAGGGTAAGCGAGGGATGAAGTCAATTCGGTGCTGTTGATATTTAGCCACCACCATCAGCAATACACTTTCACGAACAAGCAGCAGCAGCGGCAGCGACGATAGGTAGGTGATAGACAAGCGACGGCGGCGGTCGTCATCACCTTCATTGTCTCCATGTTAGTCGTCGTTGGGCCGGAAACGCGCGTTCATTTTCCCCCAAGCGTTTTAACCAACAACGCCGTTGGACTTCAGGGCAGCACTTTCCCTCCTGCGGTCATTTTCCCTGCCCTATCGCCTCTGTGGCTGACCTGTCTGCTGCCGGTAGTGACTGCCTAGCGGTGATTTTATGCGCTGTGTTTACTCGAGATATAATTTTATGTGTCTCTGTTTGTCTTTGTGTGTATAAAAAGTCGAACTGACTCGATGACTCGTTTTCGCTGCACCGCTAATCCGGCGTTGGTTTTTCTTTTCAGTTCGACAACTCTAGCGTTTCGCACTATGTCCTGCAACCGACGACGTTGGACATGCACGCAGCCGGAGGTTACGGTACCGCCGGAACGGGTGCCGGAGGAGGTGGGGGAGGTGGCGGCGGTGGCGGCGGCGGCGGAGGTACCTCATCCGCTGTCAGTTCTGATTCGCCGCTGTGCTTCTATCAGGCGGCATCGATGAGCCAGGCAGCGGCAGCTGCCGCGTACGGCGCTGCCGCCGCCGCTGCTGCTTCCAGCCATGCATCACCCCCCTCAGCCGTGACCACTAACCACATGCTAGCCGCCGCCGCAGCCCATCACCGCCCCGATCTGATTGGCACCGTAACCGACAGTCAGCTGAAGAGAGACAAGGACGCGGTGCTCAGGTGAGACGAACATTATCATTCACCCAGCTTACCTCACTTAATCACATCTCGTCTTCTTTCAGCCACCCGCTCTTCCCCCTGTTGACGCTGATCTTTGAAAAATGCGAACTGGCTACTTGCACCCCCCGCGAAGCTGGCGCTTCCGGCGGCGACGTCTGTTCATCGGAGAGTTTCAACGAGGACGTCGCGCTCTTCTCCAAACAGGTTTCGCATTTCTTCATCTTTCCTTGTTGTTTCCGATTTTGTCACCGCCTTTCGTTAGAGGCGGTCGGCGTCCACCGAAAACATAGTGTACTTACTTACTTGCTTACGTTTTGAAGTCAGGCAACAGCCATCTTCTTCGGTCGTCATTCCTCTTTTGCCCATTGCCTCCTTCGTCGAAACACCACCTCGTTCGAAATTTGGCCGACATCTCTGGCCTTCCGCCGCTTTGCGGCATCGCTGTTCTCTGAAAGCAACGTTTGCTCGTCAATTTCTTTATCTAATCCGTTGTCCCAATTCTTCTGTCCCTTCGCCTTGTCGCGTCGTTGAGTAATCGAGCTCTTGTCACGTCGCGCGTCTCCTCCACTCACATAAAGCCGGCGATGCTGCGCGTACGAGTCGAAGCAACCTCACTCAACATGCATGCGGCTTTGGTCATTCATCGACCGTCTTTGCTGCCTTTTCTCAAGTCGTTGCTCTTACTTTTACTCCTCCAGTGTCACAGTAACGTTCAGTCGTGACGGTAAGCAGCTGTCGCCATGCCCCGGAAAGCAGCACCAGCGAAACACAGCTCGTCAATACAAACAAAATCTCCGTGGCCGTTGTCGCTTTCTCGTATGCTGCTCGTCGTCTTTCGGATAATAATGAATAATAGACTAAACACAGCGATAGATCAAGCGTCATTTC